CGGTCCACCTGCTATCGTGAGTTGCATTGCCAAACCACTCTTCTACAAAAAGTGCAGGGGCGGTCAACACCAACAACCACTCCTACAGCGTTGATACCAACTGGTATGTCGATACCGGGGCGACGGATCACATCACCAGTGAGTTGGACGAACTCACCATGAAGGAGGAATACTCCGGTCAGGACCAAGTGAACATGCCCAACAGCACAGGTATGAACATTAGCCATGTTGGTCATGCTTATATTCGCACTCCTACTCGTGATTTGTTGATTTTGCAAAGGGAAGTTTATCCCGGCCTTAAAACCATGCACGCAACAAAATAATAAAAGGTAAGATCATTGAAGCTTGCCATGTGCATGCTTTGTAGACAGAATATGAGATGTTGTATCCTTGTAGTTCCAGTTTCCTGAAGGATAACAGGATGAAAGCATCCAATTACTTGTTGCAAGTGGTGGTTCTCTGTGATGCACTAGCTAGCAAGGTGACTTAGCATGCCCCATAGGAGATGTAAGGTTCATTTGAACCTCAAATGTCTGCATGAATAGTAACTTATATGAACCTCTGATGTTTTTCTCTGGTTAAGAAAAGGTATGATTTACAAAGGCTCAGGCAGGAGGTCAAATTGGAAATGGTGTCGAAAGAACAAGCAAGTTTGTTGTCATTTCAACTATCATATTGTGCAATTATTTTTCTTTGTCAGCTAGTTCAAATTTGTAAGGAAGGCAACATGTCGGGAAGTTGCACCAATTTCGCCGTTTGTATTCAAGTTTGGGTTGCGTTTTTATCATGTTGCTGATGGACAACCATAATCGCTGGCGTCGATGGGAACATATCGTTCTAGTGCTTTGTCAGGTACCTTGTGTCTCCCGCTCAGAAGATGAGCAATCAAAGGTATATCTAACAACACTTGTATTTCGAAGACATGAAACATTTATATATACATTTACCTGCTATCGTGAGGAGCAATCAAACATTTATATGAACACTTGTAATCAAAGGTCCACCTGCTATTGTGAGTTGAAATTAGAAATTATTACAAATACATTTATATATAAGGTACTGAACGAGTTTCTTTCAAGTAGTATTTGGAAGCTATGTAGCTAAAGTTAAAGTTAGCCATGGGTGTTGGAAATCGCCCACAGGATCGATCGCATCAAATCACGATAAACACACGTACACAAAACTGATAGCCAAGGGTGCGTCTCGCACCCTCTAATTCCTCTCTTTATTGCTTTTCTGTTTTATCTTATGTTACAAAACTCACCCAACGCTGCATATATATATATATATATATGCATCAACCTGAACGCCGGACCAGGCTAGATTAGCCGACTCCAAACACCAATTCTAAACCTACTCGTTCATTGACCTGGACTTGTACACGGACATGTATCCTAGCACCACTCGAACAACTATCTGGACTAGGACTCCCATCTATATGCTAACTCTCGTACGGCTAGTACTCTCGGTGTTGCACGTACATAACTTTCCTAACTAATCACCGGCAACACTGATCACACTACTAATCTTAACCAGACACAGCAGCACATTTCAAATAAGGAACTGGGTATACTGAAGAGTGGAGACATATACTTTATTAGAGAAAGGTTACATATAGGCCATGAGCGAGGAATATAACCACCAAGCATATTTACTTTTGATGTGGCGACAGAAGTTTCAGTTGTTGCCGCTGAAGAAATGGCCACACTGAAGGAATGCTGGGAAGTCGTGGCTACCGCAGCAACGCTACAAGTAACAATTTGGTCCTTTTTTTCTCTCTTGATCGTTATTTCCAAGGAGTACATACCATTACTACTAGATAGCATGCTCTGTATCATGTCGTGAGTTGTGACTGACTGACTAGAGAGATATGTTGCTTGCTTATGGAAAACAGGTGCAGGAGTCGAGCCTAAGGGCGCAAGCCGTATTAGCTTAAACCATGTGTGATTACAGTCAAACAATTGTTAGTGCAATGTGAATGCACTTGTGTGATAGTGGGCAGGTCGGCTTGCAACCAGCTGCAAGTTTGACTGTGTGCGTGTACAAGCTGGCTAGTCTAGGTTCAGTGCTTTGTCTGCATGTGTTGCAGCATAAGTTGATTCCTAGCAGTGCTCAGAACTTTGTATAAATAAGAGTATTGAGTATTCGTTGTTCTGCTCAAGTTGCTGTGTTCGTCGCAGCTGAAAGAAAAGGAGGAAGGCGTTCGTTGCCTAAACGGCTAAACCTGCCTGTCTCTCTCTTTCTCCCAAACTGAACTAGTAGTCTGTTTTTTCCTCTGCTTCGTGTGTGCCTGATAGAAATTGAACTAGTGTCGTGCGCCAGGGAGTGAGACGAGGGTCAGCGGCAATCAAGCCGTACAACAAAGGAAACAACAAGATAGATAAGTGGCACAAACGTTTCCTGTGTTTGCACGCTTTACTGGCACACCCTAACCAGTGGGTGGCGGCGGCGGTCCGTGGCTGGCAGACAGAGCATACCTGCACAGACAAAATGGGGGTGATGGGCCTGGGGCGTGCGGCGGCATCCTGTCCGACTCCGTCCGTTTGGGGTAAAAAAGACAAATGAGACGGCCCAGCGCGTGATGGCCCGGACCCATCTTGTCCGTTTTATGTTCGGGTCGACCCATTTCGACCACAAACTTGCGTCGGTTTTGGGTCGCAGCGGACAACAAACGGACGCGCCCCTCGTCCGCGTCGGGGCCGCGTGGCAGGCGGCCACCTACCTCCCGCCCGCCCACATCAATGCGCACGGGCGGGCGGCCCCACCTGTCATCCGCACATCGAAAGGTCGCCGTCCTTCTTTAAGTGGAGACCGTGGACCGGTCGTCGTCCACACTGCCCCACGCCACCCTACGGCCTCCTCGAAACCCGACAGCCAAACCCTAGCCAAGAACTCGCCGGCCGGCCGCCCGCAGCCATGGGGCTCTGGAACTACGGCCGCAAAGGCAAGCACGACCGCGAGGCTGTCTCCTCGTCGGGGCGTCGCCGCGGCTCGGTGAAGAAGGAGGAGCCGGCCTCGCCATTGCCACCACGCAGGGCCCCCTCGCCGCCCCGCGTTCTCCATCGCCCCCGCGTCCGCCGGCGAGCGCGACCGGCACTACATCCGCGCGTCGGTGTGCCGCCGTTATTGGGAGACGAGGACGCCGCTCTCCTGGAGCGACGCCCACCACCCCAACAACTGGCACCTGTCAGCCGACTGCGTGCCGATCTCGCTGGTCCCGGTGACCGGCCGTGCGCGCCGCGAGGAGATCGAGCGCCGCCGCCGCCTCCTCCCGGACGACCTCTACTACGACGAGAGGTACGCCCCCGACTCGCCATTGTGGGACACTTGGTTCCGCGATGAGCACGACATGCGGCGGGCATCCTTCTTCGCCGGCACGTCGACGGGGCCACGGCGGCCACGCCCAGAGCGCCGAGCGGCTGCTCCCCAGGAGCGTGGGCGTAGGCGGATGCGCGGCCTCACGCCCACGCCGTCGCCGTCGCCATCTCCATCGCCACCACCACCTCCTCGCATGACGGCGGAGGAGGAGGCCCGTCTCGTGCAACGTGTCATGGAGGACTCCATGAACACGCACGACGAGTGGCAATGGGACGGCTTGGAGGAGGCCATGGCACTCTCTGCCGCTGGCGACGTCGCCTTCCCGGAGCTGCAGATAGCGGCCATCACGGAGGAGAGGAGGGACGACGCGATGGAGGAGGAGCCACCGGCCGCGTTCCAGCAGCTGCTGGGCTAGGGGTGGGGCTGGTCCTGCACTGCTCCGGAGATGGCCGCCGGCGTGGGCGTGAACTGGTGCGCCACTCGGTCGCGGTCACCGAGCGGGAGGCATCGCTACGGGAGGAGGTGGTGCAGGCACCTCCCGCCGTCCAGCCCGCCCCCGTCTACCACGCACCACGTGCACCGTCGGCCCACCTGTGGACGCCGCCGGCCTACGTCGACCTCGTCAACGACGACACCGGCGGCCACTGAAGACGGCCACGGCAACGGCAACGACGGGCACGGGCAGGAGCGCGCCGGCGGCGGTCGTTTTCCTTTTTTCTTTTTATGTTTAATTATTAATATGACTCGGACGTGAAACTTGGGCGTTTTGTGGCCGTGACCCCCCTAACTAAAATTTATGTTTATTAAACTGCGTTTATTTACTTTTTTAGTCATTTTATTTATGTTTTCTGTTTTTTTAATACTTTTCTGACACAGACATGATTTGGAGTGCGACCGCGCGGTGGGCGCACACACGACCCAATGGACAAAGCCGGACACGGGCGAACCCATCGGCGCCCAAAGGGACAAAATCCGGCTAATCCGGACGTCCAGAGGTCGTGCGGTGGAGTTGGCCTCATACTTCAGGGACAGGGTCGAGGCCGTCACGCCCACCCCCATTGAAAGCGGACAAGTGGACAATTGATCCCCGTGGTGGTGGCGGGCAATGACAAAGCCTGCCTCCAGGAAGGCGGTGTGGATCACGATAGTTCCACCGACAGGAGTCGATTGTATGTACTTTGGAGGGGAGGAAGAACAAGTCGCCATCCGACATCTTACAAATTACCAATTGCAGCAAATTGCTTGCTTTATCTGCAGATGAGATTACGACCGACGCTCCTACTAAAGGACCGCCCCTCGATCTGCATCTATAATTCTACATGGTATTTCTCTCTGCCCAGATTGATTACTCATATAATAGACCAGCTGTATCATTCAATACCCAACTTTTATCTGAAGAGATTCACATAGCTTTAGTAATGTGTTAGTGGTACTTTATCGTGATGTGTCTTTACAGTGCAGTGGCAACTCTCACCTTTCAAATAAACAATCATGATGATTATCATTACAGAATGCATGTAAAATCTCCTGAGAGTAATGGCAATTTGAACAAAGTATGGTAATTAACAGTACAATGCTTTCCCTCGATGATTAACAATATAGTATGAGTAGCCAAATAATGTTCATTACAGATAGAGTCGAGAAATATCACCAAGCATAAAAAATAAGGTAAATTGACCAGGTCAGACCATATCAAGGAAATCGGAGTTGAAATCTTTACCAAGCTTAATTCTGAGTTTCAACATGGGCCATTCGCCCAGCAGCTTCGTGAGAATAGGTAGTAAAGCTACCATGAGACATATTGCAATGGCTAACCAGTGGACATGTGGAGCCAGCACCGTGTATAAACCCGTTGAGAAGGCAGTAGTTGTTGTCACGTATGCAAACCACATGAGCTTCTTAGTGAAGGATCTGTAATAAAGCAAGAACTCATAATCCTCCCACCTTGCTATGATGCATATGAAGGCCACAGCAAATGAGGAGCACATTGCTAAGACATCAGAAATCAAGAATGCCTGGAATGCGAACTTCCTAGACATGATGGGAAGTCCCTCGCTTCCTGCTTCATTGTTGTATCCTCCTGGCAGGGTGAAGGCAGCAGCAAAGGTGATTGTAGCAATAAGAATCGCCACTAACGAAGTGTTGCTTGTGTATGTTTGAGTTAGTGACTTTGCATTCTTCCTTGATGCATCAGTCATCGCTCGTTTGGCTTGCACATGAAGATTATGAAGAAGGGAAACATCCCCTGGATTAGCTTTCGAGATAAGCATGGCCACTTCATTCTGCATAAATCAAATGGAATAAGATAATTAAGTTGAGCTATTCTACTATGTAAATAATATTGTTCTTCACGGTAGTTCTTTTTCAGTTGAAAAATGTGTGGCAAAAAAACTGCTCTCCATCCCCTAGAAAAACCTCACTCCGCTCTCCTGTTTTTTTATTACCTTCACTTTGTACATATCATGTAAATAAGCTTATTTAGAAGAGTAGAAGACATAATATAGGCCCCTTCTATAGTTTCCAGTAAAAAAAAGGTGCAAAAGTCAAATATAGTCATGTCTACCTTCCTATCTAATGGATGTAGAAAAAACACACTCCTTGCATTGCAGGAAAATCAGGGATGGCTCGGCCCAAGAAACCACCCCATTCAAAATTTCAGGAGTGCTGATTACCTGGCGGCGGCACATTGCTCCTCCCTTGTCAACAATAACGCCCATGGATTGGCGGCGGGGGTGTGAGGTAGTGTGTGTGCGCCGCTGTGCTGGCCGCCTCGACCGTGGTGGCACTCGTGATCATCGGTGTGACCCTCGTAGGAGCAGATAGGGTTGTTCGGGTGGCCATCAGAAGCTAGGACTTGGTTGCCGTGCCGGCAGCGGCGACAAAGATCCCGAGGCCGTGTGTCTCGGCACCTCCTCGTTCGCGGCCGCGGAGCTCACACCAGGAGATACTGCCTCCACGAGCATTGACCTGAGAACGCAGCCATGGGAGGGGACATTTACAATGGATTTGTAGGCAGAGGCATCGGGAGCGGGATCTCCCTCCTTTCGGTCATGGCAGCGGCGGAGAATGGCGTAAAAGGACCCCTCCGAAGCAGTTCAGTTTGTCACCACTGGGGATGCTCGGGTGGGTTCGATGGACATGATGATCCACCACGGTGGTGGGAGGTAACCCATCGCCTGGAGGGACCAAGCCTCCAGCATTGCAAACATTAATCTACTCGCCGTTGGCTGCATTATAGCGGTGGTGTGGTCGACTTCCACGGCGGCCTTCAAGGTCCGCGACTCCACTAACAACATGTGTGTTGTCTTAGATTGGCAGCCTGAATGGCGTTGGATGATGCGTCGGCAGCGTGATGGCTGCGAGCAGCAGCCTGAATGACATAAGTTCCATCGTCAATA